GGGAGTTGGGGCTTGGGGGGCGGCGGCGGCAGGACGAACGGCCGGGGTGCGCACCTGGGGCCCCCTGGCCATGGCCGCGAAGGTGGATCTGAACACCTGCACCGACTGGAAGGAGGCAAAATGTAAGTGGGAGCGAGAGGGCGGCCCACGTGGGGCTTCCGGTTGGACACCACCCCGTGACTACCCTCTCCCCCTCGAGACCTGGGAAGTTGAGGCCCCTCCGCCCTCAGGTGGACCCCACCCCCACAACCACGCCCCCTCCGTGTGTCCAGCTCGCACGCCGGCCCCCCAGACCAGGTCCAGGCTGCCGACTCCTCCCTGTGGAACCGTCCCACCTCTGCGCAGGAGGGAAACTGAGACCCAGGGCCCAACCCGCTTCCCAAGGTCACTCAACCAATTTGGTAGAACTGGGGGTAGGATCCAGACCTCCCCATAGTATGGTTCTCAGGTCAGGGCATCTGAGGTGCATGGTGGGGCACGGACTGAGGGAGTAGCTCAGGAGCTGGCAGCCCACCTGAGGAGTTAGATGGCACCACAGAGTGGGCAGGTCTGGCCTGCCCCCACCCAACCCCAGCGCGGGCCTCCTGGGCATGTGATCAGGTACCCTTTGACTCTCCTGGCTTGTGGCCACTTGGGAGCAGTCTTTGCCCTTTCCTGGGGAACAGAGATTAGAAACTGGGGAGCAGCTGGAGATGGGGTGTTTTCCTGTGAGGACCACAGATCTTCACACCCGCAAAGGAGCAAACTACCTCCTCATCGTTGAGGGGCATAGGTCCTGGATCCACCAGGGGTCCTGGGCGGGCCATGAGTCCCCCAACTGGCAAAGGAGGAGAGGGCACCTGCAGAGCCCTAAATAGCCTGTCCTGTGTCCAGCTGCTCCTGCCCTTCAGTGCCTGCCCCTGGCTCCTGGGACTCCTGGGACTCCTGGCTGGATCCTCTTTCAAAAGGGCAGTGAACCCATTGGCTGGGTTGCTGGCTGGTGTGACTCAGGGCTGGGCTGGATGAAAGGGAAAGTGGCTGTTAGCGGACTCTGAAAAGTAGTGGTAGAAATCAGAATGACTTATTTCTGTGTTTGAATTGCATTGCCTTCCCTGGGACCCTGAAACACCTGATATTGATCTCTGAGCAAACAGAGAACCTGTCGCCCCTCAAGTCTTGCTGGTTGGAGCTGGCAGAGAGCCCTGTGTACCACCCTGCTCTCTGTCAGGGAAGATCCAGCTCCTAGATCCAGCCACTGGGAGTACAAGGCCTAGGGAAGCCATGGGACAGGGGCTCCCAGGCTGGGATATATCTGGTTTCTCTCCTGCTGGAGCTGGGATTTTAACCACTCATGCAGTGCATTGTTACTGGGTGTCTGCCGTGTGGCCAGCACTGCTTTGGTGCTGGCATGCATCCAGGAGCCGGACAGGCCATGTAACAATGTTTTCGGACAGAGGAGATGATGCCAGATAACGGCAGTGCCCCGAAGAGACTGGCAGTGGAGTTGTGGCATATGCCTGTAATGCCAGTTGGACAGGAGGCTGAGGTAGGTGGGTCCCAAGTTTGAGGCCAGCCTGGAAACTTAATGAGACCCTGTCACAAAATAAAAAGGGCTGGGAGGCACCTCAGTGGTCGAACCTAACGTGTGAGGCCCTTGATTTTTATCCCCATGGGAAAAGAGAAAGGAAGAAAGGAAGAAAAAAGAAAGAAGGAAGGAAGGAAGGGAGGGAGGAAGCGAGAAAGGGAAAAGAAAGGGAGAAAAAGCCGGGCCTGGTGGCACACGCCTATAATCCCAGCACTCGGGAGGCTGAGGCAGGAGGATGGCTATGAGTTCAAGACCAGCCTGGGCTACATAGTGAACTCCAGGTCAGTCTCAACTACATAGTGAGACCCTGTCTCAAAAAAACAAAACAAAAAAAACAAACAGAAAGGGAGAAAGGGAGAAAGACCCTTAGGGCCACCTGAGCTGGCAAGGTCTGAGGCCTCTCCGGGGAGGTGACCTGGACTGAGTCCTGAGAGGAAGGAGCTGGCTGGGGCGGGGATTCAGGCCCATTGCAGGATGAAAGCTGGTCACACGCAGAGGACAGAGCTAAAGTAGGGGCCCCGCCGACACCAACGGCAGTCTCCTCGTCCTAGATCAGTCTCAAACATAGTGAGACCCTGTCTCAAAAAAACAAAACAAAAAAAACAAACAGAAAGGGAGAAAGGGAGAAAGACCCTTAGGGCCACCTGAGCTGGCAAGGTCTGAGGCCTCTCCGGGGAGGTGACCTGGACTGAGTCCTGAGAGGAAGGAGCTGGCTGGGGCGGGGATTCAGGCCCATTGCAGGATGAAAGCTGGTCACACGCAGAGGACAGAGCTAAAGTAGGGGCCCCGCCGACACCAACGGCAGTCTCCTCGTCCTAGAAACCCACAGATGCCAGCACTCAAGTGCGGTCCTTTGTACCTGTTGTTGGATGGCGGCCTGTATTGTAATCCTTTGTTGCTGTGTGAGAAAGTACCCCACATCTCCATGATTTGGGACACCGCCATGTGTCATCTCAGCCCCAGAGGCCAGGAATCTGGAAGTGGTCAGCGGGGTGCTTCTGGTTCAGGTCCCTGTGAGGTTGGAAGGGGCTACACCAGGCTGGGTCTGATGCCCTGACAGCTCACCAGCATGAACCCAGGATGCAGGTGCAGGGGCTAGGAGAATAAGCTGGAAGCCACAGTGCCTTTTTGTGGCTCATCTTCAGAGTCCCATTGTACCTCTTCCACTTTACAGTAGGACTCAGAATTGAGCCAGGAGCCTGGTCCACACCCCAGGGGAAGGAAGTGGGCTCCTCCTGTGTTTTGTTTTTAGCAGTGGTGATGGAGAGGGGACCTAGGGCCTTGTGGAAGGGGGGAATCTACGGGAAGTCTGTAGGGCTGGCCTCTGCCTCTGATTGGTCCAAGCCATGGTCCTTCCTGCCCCTGACACTTCTTTCATTATTTTAAATTGCACTTGGAGCTGAGCTGGATCGTGCAGTAGCTCCAACCCATGGCCCCAGTCTTTTTTTGGGGGGTGGGGAGAATCAAACTCAGGACCTGTGCTTGCAAAGCAGACATGGTGACACTGAGCTAAATCCCCGGCCCTAGGGTCCCAGTCTTAAGTGTACAGTGCCTGCCCCTTGTGTGGTCGCCCGGTGGGCAGCGGGTGACACATTGCCATCCCCTAGAAGGAGCTTCCTCCCGCCAGTGCCCTCTGGAGATCATCAGTCTTCTCAGTCTCTGTAATGTCTCTTCCTCCTTTTATTCAGTACCGGGGATTGAACCTAGGGATTTTGCAGTTAATCTCCAACCCTTTTTAATTTTAATTTTATTTTATTTTTCTCAAGTCATTCAGTTGCCAGAGTGCTGGGATTACAGAGCTTTACCATCACACCTGGCTGAGAGTTCAGTCTTACTGGTAGATTCCTACTGTGTCTGATTTCACTGGCCAGCTGTGCGTTTCTCGAATTCAATCCCCTCAGTTCTGGGTGTCTCCTTGTCCGCCGTGGCACTTTCTCAGCAGACTGTGGAGACATCGTGCTGCGAAGGCAGCTGGGTGTGAGGGAATTTATAAGGCAACTTCTGGGGCTTCTGGGGCCTGGTCTCTGCCTTTTGTCCCAGCCCACACTAAGGGAAGAGCTGCACACTGAAAAGAGGAGTTCCCTTGCTGGCTTCAGCCCAGCCAGGCCCCAGTGCTACGTCCTCCGTGCTCTCCAAGCCTCATTTCCTCATCTGTAAAATGCGACAATGGCACCTGCTTGGGGACTGTGTTGGGACCACACAAGAAGGGACGGTCAGGTAGTGGTGGTACATGTCTGTGATCCCAGCACTCTGGGATGCCGAGGCAGGAGGACCCTAAGTTCAGGTTCAGTCTGGGCAACTTAGCAATTAACAGTGACCCTGGGGCTGAGGCTGTAGATCACTATGAAGTCCATGCCCCAAGAGAGCGACAGCCTAGATTGGGTCCCTTTCCTTGTCTCTGCTGGTGCCCACCTCTGGTCTCTGCTCTCTCATGAGCACAGTGACCCACGGAGCTACCGTCTCCAGTGTTGGAGCCGCCCCTGCACATTCTTGGCCACAAGTCCTCTCCCTGGTGGTACATGGTGGGGCTCAGAAAACACTGGGCAGGGGCAGGGCCTGATTTCAGGTCCCAGGGGACTGATGTGACTGTCAAGTTGGCACATTTTCCAGACTCACCTGGAATTAGGGGTATGGGGTTCTCCCACCTGTCATGGGGATGCAGTCTTGGCATGGGTCAGTGCGGGCGGAAGCAGGGGGGACGGCCCCGGAGTGCCCTGTGCTCTGTCACTCCCCTGCTGGGCCACAGGCTGTGAGAGCCCTGCCCCTGGGGCATGGTAACCACACAGTCACCACCCCTCCGCTGAGTGCACACACCTGGCATCCAGTGCTGTCAGCCCTGCCCACCTGCAGTTTCCAGAAGCAGAGCCCTCCTCGGCACCCTGGCCTGCCCTTGCCTCCCTGAACACCAGCTTCCCAAGTGCCATAAAGACACTTCTTAAAACACATCATTGAATTCCCGTTTGCCTGGTGTACTTTATGGCCCTGGCCGAGCTGCTTCCTCCGGCTCAGCTCCGGTGCCCGTGAGATGCTGGAAGCCGAGTCTGGGGTCAGACTTCCCCATCAAAATTTACTGCGAACATCTTTTTACAACACCTGTCTCAGTGAACTGTGAAATACTTTCGCCTCTGCAAAAATGAAAGAAAATGAAAATGCGTGTTTTACATCTTTGATAAAAAATAAAACTCACTTGTGCTTTAAGTCTGCATCTGCTCTGGCAGGAGGAGGTGGGCTGTGTAAGAGTGCATGGGGCGTGTTACAGCCTCAGAGGCAGGGAGCAGCCTGTGGTGCATGGGTGTCAGGCGAGGCCCGGACCTCACAGCAGAAGAGAGACACAGTTGGCTTTTTCCTCCCCAATAAATCAGGCACCATGGCATGGAGTGCAGCAGTTCCAGGGCTCAGCCAGGCCGCACCCTTGTTCTGGAGATGGGGACATTGCACTTGGCACGCTGGCTTTTTTTTTTGGTACCGGGGATCAAACTTGGGACCTTATGTTTGTGAGGCAGGCGGTGGCACCACTGAGCTAAATGCTTGCCTTTTGAGGTGCCCTTGGGACCCTCAGACTGGCAGGGACAAGCTGACAGATGTCCCCAAGGTTGGTGCCCAGCAGGTTGGTGGCACAGCCAGGATGCTGTCTCCAGGAAGCAGTGCTGTCTCTAGGACTTAAGTGGAAAGAAGGGGTCACACAGGTCACGGTGATGGTGGGGGGCAATTCCCCAGGTTTCTTTTATTTGCTTGTGATCAGGGGCACACACGAAGCAAGTTGCTATCTGCTGAAGGGCCTAGGGTATCTCCAGACCCTGGGCTGTTCGGGGCTGCCCAAGCCTCAGTGGCACTGCGTGTGCTCGGCCAGTGGGTTGGTCTATAGCCAGGTGACGGGCTGTCAGTGTCACAGCAGGAGCCTTGGCGTTCTGGCCCTGGGTCCAGCTGGCTGGCAGTGCCCACACTCAGCCGTGCCAAGGCTGGGGGGTCTTCAGGCATGACCAATGTGGGGACCCATATAATTTTAAAAGCTCCTCTACCTCCTGAGTGCTCCAGTTGGAAAAAAATTTCTCCTTCCCAGTTGTGTCTTGTCTGGCTTGGTGCTGCTTGGGTCTCAGCTCACAGTTAGGGTGAATGTGGTGGATGTGTCAGGTTGGCCCCTCCTTTCTGACCCCCTTGCAAGCCACTGGGGTCTCCACTGCAGAGGTGAGGAAACTGAGGCTCCAAAAGGGTAGGTACCCTTGGGTGAGATGTTGGGTGGTCAGGAGCCCATAGCTCATGGGGCCTGCTGTGCAGGAGGAAATAACAGCACCGTCCCAGCTGGGGCCTGGTCCTGCCAGTTCACCCTGACACCCCAGGCTTTGCTGTCTGGCTCACGAGAACTTATAAACCCAGATGGCCAAGGTCAAGGAATATTTATAAGGGCAAAGTTCCCCACATCTCTGCAGGCAGTGGAGAGGGCTGGTTAGAAGGGGACCTTAAAGGAAAAGTGGCATCCAGGCAAGGGGCACAGCAGGTGCAGAGGCCCTAGGCAGGAAAGCACCTGGTTCTTTGAGAAATTGGACGGTCAGGGGGGAAGGAAATGGGGTCTGTTACGTGGACTGGCTCAATGGGTGTGTAAGGCCCTGCAGTTGGTGCTGAGTTTTACTGAGGAGAGCAGGGTCTGGGTTATAGTCCTAGGCTTCCTGGGGAGCTCTGGGGGGCTAGCTGGGAATCGGGGGCCTCAGTAGGGGTCCAGGGAGTGATGAGGGCAGCCTGGCCCTGAGTGTGGGAGGAAGGCTTCTCTTCTGGGGTGTGGTGGGGGTGAATCTAACAGGTCTGCAGCGGGTGGGACTTGGGGTACGAGGAAGGAAAAGAAGAGACCACTGGGGTCCAAGAAAAGAAAGGGAAGAGGGGACAAGTGGGAGCACCATGATTTGGAGGAAGGAGTCAGAATTTTGTTTGCACTTGTGAGCTTTGAGGGATGGGAGCAGGGGGCCTGGGGACTGGTTCTGAAGAGAGGAGGTGCTGGAGGTGAATAAAGCAGTTTGAATCCTGGGACTGATGTGGAGACCTAGGGAGGGTACGGGTTCAAAGAAGAGACAAGGCATCTGGAGACTTGCAGCCCACAAGGGAGAATGTCCTGGATGTCCTGACCATGACCTTGACCTTGATGGAGAAGGGGCTAGGGGGAGCCTGGGAGGGAAGATGTGGAGGAGGCCAGTAGACAGCGGGGAGTGTGGGGCCCAGGGGCCATGAGCGTTTGAGGACCGGGGCAGCTGGGCAGGGGGAAGAACAGGAGGGAAGGACCTTCACGCCTGGTGACCAGAGAGAGGCAGAACCAGGCGCTGGCAGATGGTGGCTGGGGGAGGTGGCAACATCTGATAGCTGCAGTTTCTTTCTCAGTTTTTCGGTGCAGCTGGAGGAGTGGGGAGGGAAAGGGAGTCCCATTTCTAAAGCAGCAACTGTAACCTCCAGGGGGAGAGCAAGAATTTGGGGGCAGATTCTGCTTGATGGTGGGGTTTCCTCCAGTGACACGGAGCTCCTGGCAACAGACCAGAGCGGTTGAGGTTACCTCGTCCTGGGTGCTTTCCTGGTCTCCCTTCCTCTGGAGCTCACCTGCCTGGATGCTCCATAAATATTTATTAACTGATCAAGCCTGGCCTCTCCTCTACTATCCGGTCTTTTCCTTTGGAGGTGCCACTGACCAGCAGCCCAGCCCTGTGCTTATGTATGCAAAGCCCAGACCACTAATTATGCAGCACAGATGCAGGAGGCAGCTTTCCATATTCTTGTTTCTTTGTTTCCAGATGGGGCCTCTGTACCCCAGGCTGGCCTCAAATTCCTGGGCTCAATCAGTCCTGCCCAGGCGCTAGGACTGCAGCTGTATGCATTGCACCTGTCTCATATAGTGGAGGCTTGGAGGGTTCTTCAGCTCCTTGATAATCCTAGCACCCCCTCTGTAAGAAAGGAGCCCTGGGGGCACCTCAGATTTTGTTCCAGGTCATGTGCCTGGGGAGGAGGTAGGGAAATGGGCTGTGAGCAGTGGGGGGCACTAGAGAGGGAGGGTGGTAGGAGTGGCCTGGGCTCCTTAGACAGAATGGAGGTGGCGTACTTGTGGGATGGCTTTATCCTATATCTGGTGCCAACTTTTTTATCTAATTACGGTGCCTCTGAGGTGAAGTGGATCCTTAACAGGTCTTTGAGGCTTTGTTGTAGGTCACTCCCCATCCTCTTCTTAGATGTCGCTTTTGCTGGGAGTGCCCTTCCAGCTCAGACTACCTTCCTCCCCTCTCCCAGGTTCCCCATGCCCCCCAGGGTTTCAGTTACCTCCTCTCCCAGCCCCAGAATGTCTCTTTCTTGGTCTGTCTCAGAATTTGTTTTTTTGAGACAGGGTCTCACTATGTAGTTGAGACTGACCTGGAACTCACAATTAGCCCAGGCTGGTCTCGAACTCACAGTGATCCTCCTGCCTCAGCCTCCCGAGTGCTGGGATTACAGGTGTGTGCCACCACACCTGGCCTTGTCTCAAAATTTGAGTGGCTAGACTGTGTGATACTTGGTTCAGCCTCAGTGTCCTTGACTGGATTTTATTTTATTTTATTTATTTATTTTTCTGAGAAACAGTCTCCCTATGTAGTCCAGGCTGGCCTTGAACTCACTAGTGGCCTAGGCTGGTCTTGAACTTTCAGTGACTCTCCCACTTCAGTGGTTGAGGGCCAGGACCTTGTTTACACCACATTAAACAAGTGGCCTCGAGTGGAGGACCTGCATGGCATAAGTGCCCAATAAATGCAGTGGACTGGGGTGAGAAGTAGCTGCCACACAGCACAGTCCAGGCTTGAGTAGCAGTTGGGCAGTTTGTGGTACTACCTGCTGTTTTTTTGTTTTGTTTGTTTGTTTTTTGGTACTGGGGATCAAACTCGGGTCCTTTTGCTTTCAAGGCAGGCGGTGGAACCACTGAGCTAAATCCCCTGCTCTACCTGCTGTTTATCACAATCCCCCTAGCACTGAACTTGCCTCTGAACTGGGCCTCTCTGTGGTGTAGGTCAGCCGGGGCTCTCACTCTCCTCGGGGTCTTGTTACCAGTGGACAGATTGTGGCTTGGATGGATGAGTGGCTTTGGTGGGAGAAGGGCATTTCCATAGGAGCTTCCAGGAGGCGGCCCTCCTGCTCTCGCCACCTCCTTGGATTGCTTGCTCCCTCCTACCTGTTCTCAGATGCCTTTTGAATTCCTTGATGCGGTGAGACCTTTGCTGCAGGCACTCACCGCCCTCGCGGTCCTCGGGGCTGAACCTCAGGCTGAGCCTGGGTGCGCAGGCGGGCATGGGCCGGCAGGGGGAGCCGGCGAGCCGCCAGCCTGCTAGGTGGCGAACAACCCCCTCTCTCCCGTTGTGTTCTAGGGAGGCCCAAGCGGGGGCGGGGCGCTGCAGGGGAGCCTCCCACCAGGCCCAGAGGCCCTGAGCAGGTGACCTTGCCTCCGCACTCACCAGCTCTGCGAGCAAGGGCAGCCTCCCAGCCCCCCTGAGCCCCGCTTCGTCATTCATAAAATGGAGTCATTTCCAGCCTGGCGGCCATCAGTGAGCACCTCAGCCAATAGTGGAAGAATGTTGACTCCAGGCGCCAGGTCTGCTTGCTTCTGTAGTTTTGTGTTTTGTTTTGTCTTTTTACTGTACCAGCGGTGGAACTCAAGGCTTTCCCACTGAGCTACATCCCCATCTCTTTTTAAAAAGTTTTTCTTTTGAGACAGGGTCTTCCTAAGTCACTAAATTGACCAGGTTAGGCTGGAATTTAAGATCCTCCTGCCTCAGCCTTCCAGAGCGCTGGGATTACAGGTCTGCCACTACACTCGGTTTGCAATTCTTCAAAGGCAGTTGTCCTGTCCCCAGATCATGTTAATGATGTGACTGGTTGATAATATAACTGATTGAGTGCCACCAAGCTGCTAGGCTTAGCATGTGTGAGTCTGAAATTAATCTGCTAGGGAAGTCTTAATCTTCCTTCTATAGATGAAGAAATCAGGGACCTAGAGAGATAGGGACACAGCTGGGAAGTGGCCAGGCTGAATTCTGAACCAGCCTGTGATGTCTGTGCAGTCCCTCTGCCACTCCTGGCCTCAGTTCCCCCTCTAAACAAAGAGTAGGGCAATGTGTTCTTGGGGCTGCTTGGGCCCCAACTGGCAGGGGAGTGTCCGACCCCCACAGCACCATGGGAAAGGTGGATGGGGGCTGGATTTCGTCCTTGAGTAGGCAGCAGTCCCATGAGGAGGGGGCGTCCTTGGGGTGGGAGTGACTGGATTATGCTCTCTCTGCCCATCCTGACTCTCCTTCCTGTCCTGTAGCCTTTCTGAAAGGCCTGAGTGACAAGCAGAGGGAGGAGCATTACTTCTGCCGGGACTTCGTGAGGCTGAAGAAGATCCCAACGTGGAAGGAGATGGCAAAAGGTAGGCCTTGCTCCTGCCGGGCCCTGGCTGGCTCTTTGGCGGACACCCCCTGTAGACCCTGGCTTGGAGGAGTTGTGCAGATAAAAGACTTTGGTTCTTGCACTGTAGGGGCCTCCGAAAGTGCTGCCTCATTTAATTATTCACACGGCCTGAAGCCAGTGCAGTTTTTATTACCAAGACACCTGTTAGGAAAGAGGCACTGGGCCATGAAAGCCACCTGCCTGTGATGACTGGGTTGTCTGGAGCTGGGATTCGCAGCTATGGAGGGCTTGCTTGCAGGGGATGCCACAAAGGCATGCCTGGTAGCCAGCGACCCTGGGCAAGTCACTTAACCCACCACAGCCTCAGTTTCATCATCTGTAAAGTGGGGATGGATGACATTACCAGTGCACCTGCCCATAGCAGCATTGGAGGCCTCACCTGTGTACTGCAGGTCCTTCCTCACTATGCCAACTGTGTCAGGGTGGGGGTGCGCCGGCCTGTGGGGCCTGTCCTGTGACTCCCAGCCCCTGCCTGTTGCAGGAGTATCTGTGAAAGTGGAGGAGCCCAAGTACAAGAAGGATAAGCAGCTGAATGAGAAGATCTCGCTGTTCCGCGGTGATATCACCAAGCTGGAGGTGGATGCCATTGTGAATGCCGGTGAGTAGCTGGCCCGGGCCAGAGACTCGGGTGCCGTCTCGTTGGCTTGGCTCTGGTCTGCTGTGCCAGGCATGGGTGGGCACCACCTGGCTCCAGAGAGGCTCAGCTGTCAGGCGAGATGGCCTGCTGGCGCCACAGGAGCCCAGTGTGTCGGCCGCTCGAGCTCCTCTTCCCTGAAGCCCTGACCCACCATGTCGGGGCACCTCGCTCTGCTGCACCCCTCACAGCTCTGAGAGCCATTAGTGGCAGGAGCAGGGGGAGAGCAGGGCTGGAACCAGGCTGGGCTGCCCTGCCAGGAAGGCAGAGGGCGGGCCCCAGGGTCCTGCCTGGGGGGTGCTGCAGCCCCTTTCCTTCCTCTAACCCCCTCCGTACCGGGCAGCTGAGGGGGTGTGCAG